AAAAAAAAAAAAGAATATAGGTTTGAGAAACTCGACAGTTATATATAAATGAGATGGTTTTCGATCACATAATTAAAAGTCTATATTTTTTTATTGTTTTTAAAAAATACAACATTTATTAAATATTAATCAATATAAGAAATATTTTATTTTCTCTATTTTCTTAATAAAAGAAAATGTAAAATGAAGAAGTTAAAAGTGGTGTTTTTTACTGAATAACTTACGCACATTTAATTCATACTCAAAATGTAACTTAACTTTAATCAACCACAACATTCTTAATATTATTCATATAATTAAATAATACAAACCAATTATTCAACATATCACATCAATTTTAATTCATTATTTATGCACTCACATAATTTTAAATAACTATCACCTCGCATCATCTCTCTCCTAATTTTACATCTAACAACTTTAATTATTTTATTTTAAATATTATTTTAATATAATCTATATATATATAATTGCTAGCATGTAGCATTAAATAAAATCTATTTAATAAAACCTTTAAAATTTTCCCTCCATTTTCAGTTACAAAATTCATCATTAATATTTTTTTACTTCTCAGATTAATACACCATATTGATTGTAATCATGTATGTTTATATTATATTATATAATAGTTATTGCTAATATCAGCTAATTATAATTCACAATAAATATAAATTATATAATTATAAATAATTGTTTACAGTTACATAATTATATTATTTATTTTAGCATCAATATTATCTTTTTCTTTTGTATCTCATTATTTTTTTAAGAAAAAACAATTAGTAAATTATATTAATGGCATAGTCAAACAACTTTAGAATCTCATATACAATTGTTTTTTAATAATAATAATAATAATAATAATAATAATAATAATAATAATAATAATAATAATAATAATAATAATAATAATAATAATAATCTAAATATATATAATTGTTGGTTCATGAGTACTTAATAAAACCTATTAAATTCTACCTATGTGGCAATATAATTTTTCCCTCCAAAAACCGTTGCTTTTTATTTATTTAACCTCTCATTTAATTATTAGATAATCAACACACTAATCACTTTAAAATTACAAAAATCATTTTAAATTTTTGATTTACTTATAG